TTAATAGCTAGAGGCTGTTTCGTGCTACCCATGTGGGCATGAGTGTGGGACCATCTACTGGAGTCTCTTGGGGCCCACATTCCTGAAGAAAACTGGCTCATCCATCTCCAATTGGCATTTCTTAGGAATAAGTCTTCAAATAGGGATAGACTATTTTTTTTAAATTTTGGAATGTTTTTGTTTTTGTTCTGTTTTTTGAGACAGGAGCTGGGCATTGGTGGTGCACATCTTTAATCCCAGTGCTCGATCCCACTTGTAATTTAGGATTGCCTGGATCTGGCTGAGTAGAGTAGGCCAATTTTGACAATCCTTCTGCCTCTGCTTATTAAAATTGTTCAGTTTCTCTTCTTCAAAGTACCTTGGGGCTTGGGTGTAATGGTTATGTTATGGATATATCAGTTGGGGCTGGATACCACACTATGAGCTTCTTTCTGTATTTTGACTAGTTGGGGATTTACCATTCTAAAAGGAGGGAAAGGGAGCACAGTTAGTGTATTAGTTAGGGTTTCTATTTGTGATGAAATACTATGACCATAAAACAAATTGGGGAGGAAAGGGTTTATTTGGCTTATACTTCAATATCGCTGTTCATCACTGAAGGAAGTCAGGACAGGAACTCAAACTGGGCAGGATCTTAGAAGCAGGAGATGATGCAGAGGCCATAGAGGGAAGATGCTTACTGGCTTGCTTCCTATGACTTGCTCAGCCCACCTTCTTGTAGAACTCAGGACCGCCAGCCCAGGGATGGTGCCACCCACCATGGACTGGGTCCTACCCCACTGATCACTAAATGAGAAAATGCCTTACAGCTGGATCTCAGGGAAGCATTTCCGCAGATGAGGCTCCTTCCTCTGATGATTCTAACTTGTGTCTAGTTGACACACAAAACCACCCAGTACAATGAGGAAATACTTAACCAAAGAAAAAACAAAATCAGCAGGGGAAAGTTTAAAATTTGGATCTTGGTGTCTGATGTGATAGCACCCTCCAGATCTCCAACTCCTTTCAGCCTTGTTGATTGCAACATACTGCTCTCTCTAGGGCTGGTTTAATACCTAGCCTGCAACTTTCTTGGTAGATATCCCACAACTCTAACATTTCCATCATCTTTGGGTCTCCAACACAGATCCATGTAATGGCCCATCAGGGCCTCCATGCAGGGACACCTCTCACACATGGCTTTCTTCAGTGGCATTCCTTAGCTGAGGAAGAATATTCTACAACACCTTTCCTCTATCCTTGACTCTAAAGAACCACATTTGGGGTTGGAACTTGGCTCCCTCCTTCAGTTACATTTGCATCAGCTTTCTGCTGTTTATGGATTTCTTTCACTACATAAGCATTTCTTTAAATTCTTTTCATATGATGGAAGTTTAACTGGTTGTGATCTTGCCCTGAGTCCACCATTCCCTTGATTTCATTTAGCATGAGTTTTTCTTTAAAGTTTTTATCTTCTTGAGTCTGGCTTGGCTCCATAATGCTTCCTGGTGCTCCATTTGTCCTCAAAGTGTGAATTTTGTATTTCTTTTTGTTTAGCTTGCTCCTTTTCATTATATATCTGTATAAGAGTGATCAATAATATCCATAGGGCTGAGAAATATTAGACTTCCTTGAACTCACTTTTGCCAAAGCCATTAATCGATAATTCTTCATTTTAGCCCCAGTAAGATTTTTAGAACTTACTACAATTCTCTGAAACCTCTTGAGCCAGGCCATCATAATCTACATTGCTCTAAGCACCTCTGTCTCTCATGTGCCTACTAGTATGGGCCATTAATCCCTCCTTATAGTGTTCAACTGCTTTCCTAATCCAAAGTACCAAAGTCCACATTTCTTCTAACAAACAGTATGGTCATGCTTGTCACAACAAAACCCCATTCCCTAGTACAAACATCTGTCTTAATCACTGTTCCATTGCTGAAAAGAGGCACCATGACCAAGGCAGTCATATAAGAGAAAGTGTTTAATTTGGGGTGTTCTTAAAGTTTCAAAGGTTTATTCCATTATCATCGTGGTAGTAAGTATGGTAGCATGCAGGCAGGTGCTGGAGAAGTAGCTGATAGCTACATCCTGATCCATAGGAAAAGGGGCTCTGAAGTTGGCAAGGCCACATCTCCTACTCTTTTTAATCCTTTGAAATAGTGCCACTTTCTGGTAACTAACCATTGAAATATATGAGCCTATGGGGTTGGGGCACTCTTATTCATACCACCAAAAGGCCAGTGGAAGAAAGTCATTATGCTGTAATCCTCCATCGTCTCTGCTTCAGGTCCCACCTCCAGATCCTTGCCTTGAGTTCTTGCTCTGACTTCCTTCAGTGATAGGCTATAACCTGCAAGGTGAAACAAACTCTTTCCCCCTAAGTTGTTTTGGATCAGAATTTTACCACAGAAGTGGGAGAAGCAAACCAGGGCAACAATTTCATGGCATTTATTTGGAAGGATACTTTGAAGTAAGATTATAAATTCTAGCCCAAGAACCCTAGGCCACGTGAGAACTCACGAAATCTCTATTTGAAAGATAAAAAGCTACATGAAATACATTCTCCAGAAGAAAGGCTGTCAGGGCACTCTTCTCTGGCTCCTTGCGCAGCCCTTGGAGGACTTTAGAATGGGTATCCACAAGGCACATCCTTTATGCCATCATTTTCTTTTCTTTTTCAGGGAGCTGTGGCCATTGATCTAAAGCACTGAAGCCAGAAAATTAAAGGGAAGATTTGAAGGTACGTCCAGGGATTAAGGTAAGTATTCTGAGTGAGCAATTGAAGACACACATGGCCCCACAATGTCTACCTATAAAGTTAAAACTTGGATGCTGGGATGTACATGTGAAGGACCTCACTCCTTTTTTTTACTTTCTTTTGTTCTCTAATAGTTGGGTAGTTAGTACAAGAAAAAATAACAGACTAGCAAGGGTAAGAAATATTATACAGTGCTAATAACTGATGTATAGACATTGAATAAAGATTGAAGAACATTCATTTTATTGTAGTTGCTATCTACATGTGTTCCACTCTGGTCTTCAAGTTTTGAAGAAGTGATGCTTGGGATTTCATTACTCTCTTTTCACTTTTCTGACTCAAAAAAACTAAATATATTTGTTCTAATTGTAGCCTTAGTTTAAGATAAAGATATATACACAGCACTATTAGGAATCCAGACTGAGACACAGATAAGACTGAGGCTATTACTCATAGGAAGATAGAAGAAATAAAACAAAACTAATACTGTTGTTAGTCTAGGGTACCTTAGGTTTGGATAATTATTCCTCCTCTTCCTAACTGACATTTTGAGAAAGGGAAAGTTTTGTTGTTGTGTATCCCTATAATGTCAAAAAATATAAAATGTCCCAAATACTACCAAAATCAAAGGCAGGACCCCCGAAAAAAAGGATGAGGGATCTGCCCTTCCAAGTTTGTTGGTCTCCAAGAGATGCATCCTTTGTTGTCACAGATGTAAGCTATGTTTTGGCAAGCAGATTTCTCATACCCTTCCCAACAGGTGTCTGAGTTGATGAGAACCAATTCTGGCAAGGAATTGAGCCACTATCAAATTTAGAAAGTCTAGCTCAATCAGTACTCAAAAGAAAAAAAAAAACCCTTGAGTAAGGGCTCCAAGGAATCATACATCTCAGAATATCTGGATTAACATTGCCCTACATAGTTTCCCTATGTGCCTGAGCAGGCCCTGCGAAAAACTGGAAGGCTGATATTTAGTGATTACCTTTTCTTACTTATTTAAGACATGGTGTTATTTTGTTCTAAGCAAATTATATCATATCCCAGACATTTGCATGGTTTAAAGAAAGCACAATTAGTGAGGCAGATAGGAGCATATACCCAAGAACAGAGAAATCTCAGAAGAACTCTGTCTCACCATAGATGACACACTGTAGGGGAAAATGGAGGAATTGAATGCCTATTAGTTCCTCCTTTGTGATCACAGGTACACAAGTATTTAGTATGACGGAATATCAGTTCAGCAAAAGGAAGTGAATGATCCATACAGTTAAGTATAGAAATGTTAACAAATTAACTGCCCTGATACTCTTAATTTTAGATAATTCAAACAAGGATAGTACATGAACAACTCACTTCATGTACTAGGTCTGAGAGAGATAATAGCAATTTTCCATAGTTAAACTTCCAATGGAAGAGATAAACCTATTTTGTTCTAAGTAAGATTCCTGAGTATTGAAGGGATAACCATACCACACAAAAATTCTGTGGAGTTTAGTTTCTGCCTTTAACCCAGAGAATTTCCAAATAAGGGGAAACTTCCCATTTTACTCTTAAATTTTTAAGAGGTATGGTTTTAGTTTTAAGGTAACAGGTTTTATTTCTATTCAAAATTTTACACAATTTTGATCATATCCACACCCTTCTCCCAATTCATCACAGATTGAATCCACTTCACTCCCTATCCACCTTTGTGTACTCTTACTTTTAACCCGTTAAGTACTATTTGTACTGCCTTTTAGTTTTGAGTGTGTGTGTTTATCCATGGGATTTTGGTCAACTACCAGGTGCTATTCCCTTAAAGAAATCTGACTCTTCAGTACCAGCAGCTAGAAGTTGCCTGTAGTTCCTCAGGTACAAGTAGTACTGCATACCCACCTTTAAGGGGTAGTTTTTTTTATGGCACAGAATGTGGATTCAGCCCATCAGATTCCATGTTAATCACACTTATGCAGATTATGGACCTTTTTTCATTTAGAACAGGAGTGGGAACTACGGAGCCAAACATATGTCTACTATGAGCCCTCATAATTTTCATGTTGAGTTGGCTAACACTCAGTGGGTCTCTTATTTTTCCCTACAAGTTCTTGCATATGAACCTTTTTCAAATGATTTTCAGAATTCCATTGGAAGTGGATTTCATCACAGTGACTGTAATTGATTTTACTAGCTGATTACCTCATCACCTCCCTTTCTCTTTCAAACAGTGACTCCTCATTGTTGCCTTCCTGTCTGCACACACATCTACTAGTCACTAGTCACCATGTCTCACCTTCAGAAGAGTCCGGAATGTGAAGCTGACCCAGGCCAGACCTTCGAGGAGACCCAGGGCCTACGGGTTGCAGCAGTCTCCAGTGATGTGGAGGAGCCAGGTCCCTCCTCTCATTTTCTGATGGCTAGTAGTCTGAAGGGCCAGACCTGTGAGGAGACCCAGAACCTACAGGTTGCAGCAGTCTCTTATGATACAGGGGAGCCATGTTCTTCTTCTCATTTTATGGCTAGTAGTCTGAAGGATCAGACCTGTGAGGAGACCCAGGGCCTGGAGATTAAACAGGTCTCCAGGGATGTGGAGGAGCCAGGTCCCTCCTCTTATTCTCTGATGGCTAGCAACCAGGATGATCTTGCAGATCAGATACCTAGTACTTCTGGGGGTCTCAGTGACCAAGAGAATCAGGGTAATCCAGTCAATCCACCATGTCAACCAGACACCACAAATACCCCTGTGATGAGTATTGATAGTAAGGTTGATTTCTTGGTGAATTACATGCTGTACAAGTATCAGATGAAAGAGATAATGAGCATGACTGATATATTGAAGCTCATTGTCAAAGAAGATGAAGATCGTTTTCCAGAAATCCTCATGAGAGCTACTGAACGCATGGAGATGGTCTTTGGCCTGGATGTGAAAGAAATAGATCCTGTCAACCACTGCTATGCTCTGTTTATCAAACTAGGTCTCACCTATGATGGAATGCGTAGTGATCAGTATAGCTTTCCTAAGACTGGTCTCCTTATACTCATTCTAGGGATAGTCTTCATGAAAGGCAACCGTTCCACTGAAGAGGAGATTTGGGAAGTGTTGAATCCAATGGGAATCTATGCTGGGATGAATCATTTTGTTTTTGGTGACCCTAGGCAGCTGATAACTGATGAGTTTGTGAGGGAGCAATACCTGACATACCAGCCAGTAGCCAATAGTGATCCTGTGCAGTATGAGTATGTGTGGGGGCCCCGGACTCGAGCTGAAACTAGTAAGATGAAAGTGTTAGAGTATGTGGCCAAGGTTCATGGGACAGACCCTATTGCTTTCCGTTCTCAGTATGAAGAGGCCCTGATAGAAGAAGAAGAGAGAGCCCTTACCATGATTTTAGACAGGGCTGGCTCAAGTTCTCTTTCTGGTGCAAGTTCTGGTGCCATGGGTAGCAGCTTCCCTGATATCTAGCACAATGAGAGATAAATTAATCCTGCATAATTTGCAGGGAATTTTTAGACTTGAGGGGCAAAATGTAGGTCCTAGTTTGATATAGAGGGGAGAGAGAATATTGCCTGCATAGTTATAAACTGTATGTGTGCCGTGCTATTTTTTCTTTTACTATTTGGTCCTTTGATTTGAATAATGTTGTACATAATAACATTGTTATTTAGATTCAGAAATCTCCACTTAATGCCATTCACAAATTTAATAATAAGAGCTTTGCCATGACATAAAACTAATTGAAAAACAATCTCATCTATCTGTATAATTACCAGGAGTAGTATAACATGCTTTTGCAAAGCTTCCACATTTTAAACAGAGTTGTGCTAAATTTGTCTTTGTAATATTCTATTTCTCAGTAAAATTGTATGGTATATGAGTAGTTGCTTTACTTTATAGTGTCCATGAGTAATAAAATTCAATAATTTTTACCTTACATTGTCTCTTTTATTACCCAAAACTTGTTTGTGCATCTATTATTTTCCAATAATCATTTTAGTTTACTAGGATGCTGCATTAAAAAACATGTAGTCCCTTCTCTTGTAAATGTATTGATGATGGCAGCATGTCTTCTAATAGTTTAAAGACAAATGAAAGATGAGTTTTCAGATAATGTAGACAGAGTTCCTGTTCTACCTGGTCTTGATGCCCTTAATCCCAAATAAACATACAGAGCCTTACATTAATTACAAACTGTAGGCCAATGGGTTAGGCTTCTTATTGGCTAGCTCTATCTTAATCATTAAGCCATTTCTATTAATCTAAGTATCTCCACCTAGTCTTAGCATACTGGAGAATGACCCGGGAGTCCTATCTTCCCAGTAGCTACATGGCATCTCTCTGGTGGCTCACTCTCTGAGATCTCTCCCCAGAATTCTCATCTGGTAGCCCCACCTATATTTCCTGACTTGCTACTGGGCAATCAGTGTTTTATTCATCAACCAATAAGAGAAACATATATACAGAAGGATATTCCCTCATCAAGGTAAAGTGATCCTTACAACCCTATTAAGTATAAATGTCCTGGAGAAAAAGGTGCCTGTGGTAAGATGAACTTCTTCAGAGTGTGAATTTTAAGGTAAATAGTGAGAATAAGGTAAATAGTGGAGAGAATAGATGTGTAGTGAGACCTACAGATGATGCACCTCAAAGCTGACATCCAAAAGTTTATTGCAAAACTCTTTACCAGTTACTTTGTGATTTTGATAATTCTAGATCCAATTTTCATACAGAGAGAGTAGAAAGTGTCTGTCTCTGATCCCACTTCTGTGTGGTTGAATGTTGATTTTAAACTAAAGCTTTACTTACAAATAATCTTAAAGACATGAGACTTTTTGTGAATTAGAAACAAGATTGTTTTACATGGCAATACCAGTTCCCTCTCCCTCCTGTCCTCCCCAACCACTCCCCCAACTAAAACCCTACCTATCACATATCCTTTCTGCTCCCCCTGGATGGTGAGGCCTTCCACAGGGTGTCATCATAGTCTATCCTATCCTTTGGGATAGGGCCTAGGCCCACCCTGGTGAAGATATGAGATTTTTAAATAGGTTATTTTAGTATGATTTGAATTTTATATGCTAATACATACTTAAAATTTTAATAAAGATATAAGCAGTGAAAATATTGTTGATTTAGATGAACTCATGTTCAAAAATTGGAGAAATTTTTATATCACTAAAAATAAACCCACTTCCTGATTTTTTAAAGAATAACCTCTCCCAGGGGAGAAATTACTTGGGTTTACATGAGTAGTGTTTTAATTTATATAAAGTAGTCTTTTGGGGGGGGTTGCTTCTTTGTTTATTTGATTTTTTTATTTCTTTGCTTTTCAAGGCAGGGTTTCTCCGTGTAAAAGGACTGATTGTCCTGGAACTCACTCTATAGACCAGGATGGCCTCCAACTCACAGAGTCATTTGCCTCTGCCTCTCAAGTATTGGGATAAAGGCATGCTCCACCGCTGCCTGGCAGAATTCCATTTATTATAGAACTTCATGTTCTATGGGACATGTGATTATTTTAAAATTTCCATAAGATAGACTGGTAGAGTCACTATTCAAAAAAATTATAGTAATATCTGTAATTAACTAAATAACTAAATACCTCTACCATACCAAGCACTCGGACAGAGGTTTTCCTAATGCCCTCTTACAAGTAGTCTTATATGATAACACTTACATTAGTTACTTTCTCAACAGTGTGACTGAATATATGTGACAGAAAAGAAGGGATTTCAATCCACTGTAATGAGGAAGCCATGGTGGAGTCACTTTGTCCATGGTGGCAAGAACTTAAGACAGCTACTATTCACATTGTGGCTTCCCAGAAAGCTGAGAGCCATGCTAGTATCATTGCCAGACTGTAACCTCAAAGGAAGCTCTATTTCTGCCAGCCAAGTCTCATTCTGAATGGTTTCACAACTTTTCAAAGAGTGTCATTAGACAAATACTCAAAATACACAAAACACAACACAGTAGGTGACATTTTAAATTCAAACCAAGTCAGAAATTTCCAGATATCCTCTCAAATAAAAAGCCTAATACTCCTAGAGCTCAGTGTGGGAAATGGTTGAGACTTAACCTCTGATATTAATTCTTCTAGATCCATTTCTGTACTACTATCCAGTCTTCTGTTTCCTGATACATTTCTTCTTGCGGTTTCTCACATTGCATGTTAGAATAAATTAGACCCTGAATCCGAAGTACAAAAATTGGATGAAAAATGTTATCAAACACTATCAATCTATTTCCTGTAGACTTTGTTAACCCCTAGTTCTCTCCTCAATGTCAATGCTTCTGAGAGTTGACTCTGAAAGGAATGACAGTTTTGTCCAGATTCAACTATTTAAAGAATTATAAGAACATTGTCTTGATTTTTTTCTTCCATTTTTGTTTTGTTTTGTTTGTTTGTTTATTTCATTTCTGTGTGCCAGAGAGTTCTATCACTTACTTTAGAATTTCTCTGGGAGCAATAGCCTATCCCATGCAAAAAGTCATTTTTGCAATACAATTTCATTTTGATCATCATCACTAGGCATATATATTACATTAAGAGAATTTCCAAATAAACTGCTAAATATAGTATGCATGGGAAAACTACTAGTCTGTGGTATCAATGCAAAAAGACTGAATTTTGAAAACTGCTATTTGCATTAGGATTCTAATAGGACTTTTTTGTGTGTTTGAGAATAAATATGGGACATATATATGTATCAATGAATACCCTTATTTTGTGACTTAAAATCAAAACCTCTCTTACTAGTGAAATCTGGGAAAAGATTATCAAAATGATTAAGCAAATACAAAGGTTCTAATTTGTGTATATGCTCAAGTTCTAGGAAGGAGAAGACATTCCTTGTAGACATTATATATTGAAATAATGTTAGATAACTGATTGATTTGTTAATAAGTTGTTATTTAATCTAATTTTTAAATATATTTATTTATTGCAGCTGTTCATTCTCTACTTCTACTATGTGGTTCTGGTGGTTGAACTGGGGTGATCAGGGCACAGTTCCCCAGTGAAGCATTTTAAAGGCCCTTAATCTGGATTTTTCTGTGGACATATGTGCACATTTGTCAGTGTTCAGGCATTTCAGTCAGGTAATAAAGAGCAAAGAATCATATGCTGATGCTTTGTTAATATCCAAAGTACTGAGAAAATTCAGTGTATTATAATTATAGTGACTCTTGACAAGGACAACACAGATTTGAGTAAGTATAAGAAGCCTATAATGCAGAAAAGAGATAATGGAATACTTTCAATAAATAGATGTGACACAGGATTAACAAATATCTGTTACATACTAGGCTCTCCAAACAAATGACTTCAGAAATTCCAACAGGAATTGAAAAGGGGTATTTGCTAATTATTGGACAGCACTTGGCACCTATTTCGTAAAGTGTATAGAAGAGACTGCATGTGCTTATCTATTTTCTTCCTCTTTTTCCTGGACTCATGAAAAGACTATTGACTATATTGACAGATTGACCTGCAATTATAAATGATTTTGTTTCTACTTCTTGTCAGTAACTTATAAGTAAAATTAATGTTTTTGTACAGTACTTGAGAGCATCTATGCCATTCTTATTTTTTTTCTTCTGTTCAGCAGCATACATGGAGATCATGTGACGATATTAAAGTACAAGGGGAAAGCAACTTAGATCTGTCAGTCAGTGGTTAGTAAAGGTTAGGAAAAATCATGAGATTGATCATAAAATTTCAAATCAATCAGTTCTATTTTGCTAAATAACTCAGGTTTCAAGTATTTCTGCTATATCAGTTAACTAAAATGTTATGAAGAAATACATAGCCATGATGTCTGTTGTTCTGGTGTTCTCTCTAATAATCTGCACTTCCTCCTGGTGTTCTCTCTGATAATCTTCACTTTCTCATCCACTTTTATTCTCAAGCATAAATGAAGACTAAGTTCATTCCTGTTTTGAGAATGGACATTAGTAAATCTTATCAATGAAAGACATGGAAAGGAAGAAAACTGTTTTAGTCACCACTTAGTACCTACCTTAAGAAGCATGGTATTAAGTTACTCTAATAGAAAGGAGAGTTAATTTGGTATTGTTTCAGAGCAGATGGGAGCACACTTCAAAGAGTCACCTCAATGTTCAAGTGTCTTAAAGTTTGCAATAAAGATCTTGGACAATGGACATTGAGATGTAATGTTATACAGCAAACACAAGGAGATAAATTCAGATATGAACAAAAATGAGCTACTTGCTCTAATTCACAGATTTACTTTTAAGATAAATTAAAGCTCAAAATGAGAAATTTGGTATGCTGAACTTTATGTTACGGACCAGCCTATAAGCATGAGCCAGAGGGTGAGTCTATGATGATGAGAATTTTTTTTCACTGGAGAAAGACATAGTGTTATGAAAAACAATCTAGGTTTAAGTCTGGTGATATAAAAAGTTTCACCTTAATGAATGGATCCTAAACTAGTATAGAT